TAGTAACGTTAATAGATTCTTAGAGTAAGTAACTAGGCTTTTATAGCTCTAATTCTTAGTATAGCTATTAGTAAACGCTTTTTATAAGACTACTTAGTTTAGTCTAATATTATACTACTATCTCTAGCTAAAGAGGTATTAACCTTTAGATAATATAAGAGCTAGCTCTATAATCTCTACTACTATACGTACGCTCTAGAATACCTAGCTAGGTAAGTTAATTATAGATAATATAGTCTCTATAAGCTATAAGAATAAGAGTAATAAGTAGAGTAGGTTAGGTTAAATTTAGCTATCTAAAGGTAAGAAGTAGAGAAAAGACTTAAAGAGGCTCTATATATAGAGGTATTAAGCGCTAAGACGCTAGAATAGATTATGTAATAAAGTTATATAACCTAAGGTTATATAACTAAGATAAATCTCTAAACTAGACTATTATAGTTTATTTATTAAGTACGTTAGTAGCTTTTTAGTAGAGACTTAGTATTTTTAGAGCTTTTATTTATATAAGGCTTTTATTTATAAAGTATATTATATATAAATTTTTATAGAAAAATATTAAGGTTTTACTTAGTTATTTAAGAAAAATAAGATAAGTTTTATTAATTTTTCTTACTAAGAAATTATAAAGCTTTTAATAATATAAAACTTTTAATAATAAAGTATATTACTACTTTTCTATATATATAATTTAATAATAAAAGGTATAGAGATTAATATATTATACTAGATAAAGAAAATAGTATCTACTTTTCTCTAGACTTTATATTACGCTCTATACTTAATAAAAATAGAATTCTTAGTTTTTTAAGCTCTCTTAGTAGAGAACTAAATAGCGTAACTAAGAAGTATAGATAATATACTTAATATAGCTAATTCTAGATTTAAGTAGTTATAAAGAATCTAGATATAAGTTTAAAGCTAAGTAGAATAGTTATATAGAATAGATATAGAATAGATAGCTAATCTCTACGCTAACCTTATAATTCTAATCTAGGTACTAGATACGCCTTATTTTATAGTAAGATAAACTATAAAGCTCTAGTACTTTTCTTTTACTATAGTAAGTAATAGCTTATTTATACGTGTAGATTAGAATAGTCTATACTATCTAAGCTATAGTTATTATAGAAATAGACTATAGAAGTATTTCTAGTAAGAAGAAGGCTAGCTAGTTAGCAAGCTACTTATAGAGAATAGCGAAGTTAGATATCTAAGTTATATCTTCTAAAGACTATTTAAGTTATAGCTAGATAAGGTAGTAGACGTATAGAATAAAGAGTATATTTAAGAATATTATTATATTAGTATAAGAAGTATATATATTTCTATATATACTTATAAGAATATAATTAGTCTATAAGTACGCCTACTAGTAGCATTATTCTATTAGCTAGGTAGCTACTTTCTAGTAGAACTACTTAGATAGAAACTCTAGAATACTTCTATCTTTATAGCTATCTTTATCTATACTTAGTTAGAGTAGTTATAGTATATAAAAAAAGCTTCTATAGTCTATAGACTAACGCTAGCTACTTTAAATAAAACCTCTTTTAGCGTAAGTAGTATACTAAAGTAAGGTAAATAATAACGTATACTATCTATATAATACTATTAACGTCTAGCTACTACTAGTACTCTATCTCTATAACTCTTCGCGTCTACTTCTTATAGCCTAACTATAATAGTAATAATAATAGTATTTTCTTTACTACTCTTTCTATCTATATCTATCTAATAGTCTTTCTTTTTACCTAATTATAAAGAGTCTTATTATATTATATATTTAAGCTTCTTAGTACTAGTAATATAATAGTCTAGTTTAGAGATTTACCTTAGTTATATAATCTTAAGTTACGTAACTTTATTACGTAATCTAGTCTAGCGTCTTAGCGCTTAGTATCTCTATATATAGAGCCTCTTAGAGCCTTTTCTCTACTTCTTACCTTTAGATAGCTAAATTTAACTTAATCTACTCTACTAGCATCTCTTATTCTTATAGCTTATAGAGATAGTACTATCTATAGCTAACTTATCTAGCTAGATATTCTAGAATACTTATAGTAGTAGAGACTATAAAGCTAGCTCTTATATTATCTAAAGGTTAATATCTCTTTAGCTAGAGATAGTAGTATAATATTAGGCTAAACTAAGTAGCCTTATAAGAA